AAAAAAAAAAAAAAAAAAGATGTTGAGGCTGAAATGCGTACTTACCTTCTGAATGCTTTCATCCACTAGTCCTCCAAGGATGTACACTTGGTTAGGATCAACATCTTCAAGAGCTAATGAAAAAAAAGAGGCTATTGAGATCAAATCTGTTTCATAATTTCTAAATCCACAGAAAGCAAAAGGAAAGAATTATTAACCATAAAAGGAGAAAGGTAATGACTAGAAAACAGAAAAGGGCCAGCCCTATGGCACAGTGGTTAAGGCAGCTGGATCTTATATAGACATGCAGTTTTGAGCCTTGGACCCAGCAGTTTGCAAAGCACACCAGGTGCATGCATGCATGCCCAAAATTCCAAAAGGAGGGAGAGATGGAAGAAGGGATTGTGGCATGATCATGTCCCAGAGAGGAACACTTTCTCCCTTTCCCTCTCTGTCTCTTTCTGGTGAGTGTGCACACCCTTTGACAAATTAACAAAACACAACAAATAATAATAAAGAAAAAAAAGGTAGAAACTTGCTCAATAAAACCAAAAGTAACACAAATTGTTGACATAACAAACCAAAGAAAAAAAGGTAGGAGACCCCAATCAACATTAGATTCAGAAAGAAAACAAAATTGGGAACAGCAGATGGCATAATGGTTACATTGCTAGACTCTCATGTAGTTGACCGTGGTTTGAGTCCTGGACCCGGAGATTTAAAACTCATGCCAGGTGAGTGTGCGTGCGTGCCCAAAATCCCAAGAGGAGAATGGAGGAGAAGGAACTGTGGTGTAGCCATACCCCTAGGCGATGATTTCTCACTGTATGTGTCTCTGTCTCTCTAGCAAGCACACATACCCTATAGCAAAAATCTCTCTAAAGCAAATAAATTAATAATAAAAAGGAAACTACAAAGGAATTTGGTGTAGTTGAGGCGTTGGACTCCCGCATGTTTGACTGCAGTTTGAGACCCAGACTCGAAACTTGAAACTCAAGCCAGGTGTGTGTGCTTGTGTGCCCAAAATACCGAGAGGAAAATGGAAGATTAGGGACTGCAGCATGGCCATCCCCCTGTGTGTGTGTGTGTGTGTGTGTGTGTGTGTGTGTGTGTGTGTGGTGATTTCTCACTTTTTGTCTCTCTGTCTCTCCAGTGCATGCACATTCCCTGAAGCAAATATCTCTCAGAAGGAAAAAAAGAGAATACTATATACTATGAGCAAATAATTATCATTAAATTTGAAGATTATATGAAATGAATGATTTTTTATTTATTTATTTTTTTGAGAGGTTTTTGCTATAGGGCGCATACACTCACCAGGAAGACAGAGAAAGAGAAAGCGAGAAATCACCCCCCAGGGGGGTGGCCACGCCGCAATCCCTTAAGCCATGTAGGAGTCTAGTGCCCTAACAACTATGCCATCTTCTGCCCCACCCCCACTTATTTTTTAATACTCTTAAAGCAACTTTAACAAATTCTGCCACAGAGAATAATGAAAAACAGGACAAGAAACAATGTGCTACATGAATTCATGCAATACAATACATACTGTGTTCTGAGTCAGGAGTCAGGTACACCAGGGTTTCCAGAGGAAATACATCAAAGCAGTCTTCTTCTGTTACGTCTAGCTGGAAAATGCACAGAACTCAATGTGGTGAGAACTAGGTTAAAATACTGCAAAGTTTAACACTACTTATTGGACATCCAGTTTCTATTAGGCATGGCTCTAGGTGAAGCTAGGGGTTGCTTGTTCAACTGCTTCTCACAAGGTGCTCACAAAGCACTTAGCCTATGAAACGAGGTAGGAAATGGTTTGGGGGACTGGCAGGTAGCACAGCAGTTAAGGGTACTAGACTCCCACATGGCCAACTGTGGTTTGAATCCCGGACCTGGCGGCTTGCTTTCTCACTTTCTCTCTCTCTTGTCAAATTATATAAATGAATGAATAAATGAATGTTAAATAAAAATAATTCTTAAAAAAGAAAAGAAAGTGGTCTGGGGCCCTCACAGAGATGCAGGGAGCACACCCTAGGACTACAGATGAGGGAGTAACACCAGGGCAACCTTCCGATCAAGGGAATGCTGAAGCTGGGCTTCTGAAGAGGTGAGACTGACATGTATAAACGGAGGTGAGTTTAAAGAGGAGGGAGTCACTCAAGAAAGGCATGAAGACAGGAAAGAAAGGAACTATGTGGGGATCTGCCTGGCTTATGTACAGGAATTATGAGGAAAGTAGAAGCAAAGCTGGGAGTAGCTGCACTACCAGAGACCGCAAAGGCAGTGACAGCCCCATGTTCACTGTGCAGCACCACAGAGCACCCTCCACACCTGTCGTCCCCATGCATGTCCTCAGGGAGGCCACGGCTGCTGAGTCTCAGCCAAACAATGCAAAAACGCCAGGGCACTTTTAGTGACTTCCCTTGGAAACTGATCTAGATTCCTGCCTACTTATCAATCTTACATTCATGAGATTCTAGAGAAAGAGCTGAAAAAATACCTTAGTACTCCCTCAAATGCATCTGAAATCCACATTATTTTATTTTAAGAGGTTATTGCTACAGGGCGTGTGCGTTCACCAGAAAGACAGAGAGACAGAAAGTGAGAAATCACCCCCCAGGGGGGATGGCTACGCCGCAATCCCTTCTCCTCCATTTTCCTCTCGGGATCTTGAGCATGCACGCACACGTGCCCGGCGTGAGCTTAAGCCACCAGGTCCCGGACTCACACTGGGGTCAATGAAATGGGAGTCCAGCGACATAGCCATTATGCCAACTGCTGGTCCCACACATTACTTATTTTTTAAAAGAATTATTTTATCTATTTTTATTATGATCATTGTTTTTAAAATTTGACCAGAGAGAGAGAAGGAAAAGTGAGAAAGTAAGCCACTAGGTCTGGGATTCCAATTGAGGTCATGTGGGAGTCCAGCACCTTAACCACCATGCAACCTGCTGGCCCCTCCACATTACTGTTAAAAGGATTCTTTCTTTTCCTCTCAAATTCATATCTCCTAATTCTACACTGTTAAGAACAAGAAGGGAGTCATGGCATACCCCCCAAATACAGCCTGGTATAAAACATTCAGGACACAAAATGCAGTCCTGGATAAATAGTAATTTGTGAACACAGTGGAAGTATGAGAAAAAAATTTTTGTTTCTCAATTTCTATTTTTTTAAAGAATTGATTTCATTTTAGTTATTATTATTACTTTTTAAAAAATTCACCAGAGAGGGAAAGAAATACAGAGAGGGAAAATGAGAAAGGAAGCCACCAGGTTCAGGGCTTGAACCATGGTCGGCCACGTGGGGATCCAGTGCCCCAACCATGATGTCATGTGCTAACCCCCAAGAAAAAAAAATTAATGTAAAACCAATAGAGGATGTAATGGTTACACTGCACTCCCACGTGGCCAACTGTGGTTCGAATCCTGGACCTGGCAACTTGAAACTTACACTGGGCATGTGTGTATGCATGCCCAAAATACCAAGAGGAGAATGGAGAAGAATGGATTGCGGTGTGGTCAATTCCCCTGGGGGTGATTTCTCACTTTCTGTCTCTCCGTCTCTTCTGCAAGTATAAGCACCTTTTAGCAAAAATCTTTCTTAAAAAAAAATAAAACACTAATGAGAGGTTCTAAATTGCTTTGGATTGCAACAGTGAAAACATGCAATTTAAATATATTACATCGAAATATTAAAAAGGTAATTAAAATGTACTATTACTCCACAATCACTTTTCAGATAACAATTCAAATAATATGCAAAACAAGACTTACTAGGTAACTAGAAAATCCATCATTCATCCTCAAACACTCTTCATACAGGGGACTGTCTGTTGTAAATCCAGTGAGGCAGATCCAAAACGGCCTGTCAGCTTTTCTGTTAGAACCATACAACCTCCGGATCTGTCCAGCCAGTCTACTCAGTTCCTTCAACGAAATAAGAACAACTCAGAGTGGAAATAAGCCAACTCACTCCAAATTCCTTATCCACAAATGGTTATGCACAAAGTTCACAGAATGCTACTTCAGAAAATCTCACAAGGGTAGTCCTGGATTACAGAGGTCACACTCTATGGCCTCACAGCTTACAGATGAAAGTCAGTGATACTACCTAGAAAGAGTGGAAAAACAGAATTCTCTCTCCCGTCATTGTGTATCTAACATAGAAAATTTCTATTTTAGCTTTTATCTAAATCTTACCATGTTATATTTATTTAAGCTATTAAAAGGAAATTAGGGGGGCTGACAGGTGGCATGGTGGTTGATGCACTAGACTACCACATGGCCGACTCTGGTTTGAGTCCCGAACCTGGCAGCTTTCTCACTCTCCCTTTCTCTCTGTCTCTCTCTGGTCAAAATCGAGGAATAATGATAATAAGTAAAATTTAAAGTAAATACATCTTTTTTAAAAAAAGTTAGATTACTATACAAAAATTTTTAAACTCCATCAGATGAATTTGGCACCTTCTTCCTCCAAGAGATGTGACAGGGTTGCAAGTTTTAACTTTCTACCCTGATTCAGAGACATCACTCATAAAAAAGGTAGTTTCAGGGCTGGCAGGTGGCATGGTGGTTAAGGTGCTGGATTCCCACATGGCCAACCATGGTTCAAGTCCTGGACCTGGCGGCTTGCCCTCTCACTCTCCCTCTGTCTCTCTCTGGTCAAATTGAATAATAATAAGGTAGTTTCACCTTCTAGTTTGCTTTGTTCAATAGAGAAAAAAAGGCTTGAGTTTGATTTCAACTGATATCTAAATTTTTTTACTATTATTTATTTTGTCATTATTTATTCACTTTTTAATTTGACCAGAGACAGATGAGAGGAACAGAAAAGGAAAGTGAGAAAGCAAGCTGCCAGTTCCAGGATTCAAAGCACGGTCAGTCATGTGAGAATCCAGAGCCTTAACCACGCCATCTGCAGGTCCCGTGGTATCTCAATTAATAAAAAAATTTTGGTTGGCCTTTTCAGAGGGCTACAGTTAGAGGCTCCATATCAGAATCCCAGATCTATAATGTTCCTCATTTCTCTGAAAAGCACACATACATTAGCACATACAAAGATGTGTGAAAATAGAGACTGAAACTTACAAACTATAAGGCCTAAAACTGCTGCCTCAATCACACTATGTGTTGACTTGACTTGTGATAAAACTGGGAGGACCTAAAAAAGTCTAACTACAAGTTCCCCCAGCTATAGAAACCCTTTTTCAGGGGCTGGCAGGTGCCGTAGTGGTTAAAGGCACTGGACTCCCCCATACGACCGATCATGGTTCAAATCCTGGACATGGTAGCTTGTATTCTCACTTTCCCTCTCTCTCTGATCAAACTGGAAAATAATAATAATAACATTAATAAAGTTAAATAAAATAATTCTTTAAAAATAAAAGAAATACTTTTTTCATTAAGGGGACAAGGCAAAGTTCCTAGTTATCCTTGAAGAGTGGGTTTTCATTCCCTGACAGCCCCTGGAATTATCCAAACAAGTCAGTCACATCCTGTGGGAACCAGGGGGCACTTCACCTTCTTGACACTTCAAAGCCCACCTCCCAGGGCCCCTGGTTGCTCATTCTGTCCTATGTGGCCTTGTGTGGTGTGCACTATTCTCCTCCCCTGGGCTGTGAGTACGAGAGACTAATAAACTGCTGTCGATCTTCTCCCACAACAGGTATCATGTGTTTAGCCATCCCCAGAACCCCGCTCTCACTGATGGGGTCAATAAGAAACGACTGAACACACACGGTGCAAGAAGACCTTCCACCAGATAACATCCCCATGAATGCTCCAGGCTAATCTCCTCTTCTAGCAGAAGGCCAACACTTTCATGTCCAGAGAACTGACCCTGAAAGGTTCCTTCCAAACTGGGGATACCATGAAAAGAGAAGCAAAGGTGTTCAGTTCAAAACAGGTGACCAGGTAAGAATCTGCAGACTAAACCAAAGGATATTTATTTCTTCTAGATATGTTATAATAGCCATTTTTTAAAAAAAGAATTATTTACTTAGTTTTATTATTTATTCATTCATTTATTTTAATTTGACCAGAGAGAGATACACAAAGAGAGAGAGAGGGAAAGCGTTGACAGTAAGCCACCAGGTCCGGGACTTGAACCATGGTCAGCCATGTGTGAGTGTCCAGTGCCTTAACTACTACACCACCTGCTGGTCCCCTACAATAGCCATTTTAGTAGCCCAGCATAAGAAACCAAACACTTTTGCTGGTTTACTAAGGTGTCTCAAAAACTGAAGCTGGTCATACTCTTCATGAAAGCTGTACCCTTCTGAGCCTCCCTTGTGTGAACAGAATTCCAGATGTTAGAGGATGTTCTACCTTCTTTGACATATGGTGGGTCATGCTCAAATCGATGCATAGCCTTGGTCCTGAGTGTTTGGCTTCCAAAAGTTTCTCTTTGGTTAAAGCTTTCAGAAAACGTTTACTGTGCTGGGGGCAGATGCCTAGAACAGAAATATAAAAAGAAATAAAAGTGGATGAAAAATAATTTAGAAGAAACCAACCTATCCCTTGATAGGCGAATACTTTTTACACATAAAGAAACTTGAAACTTGTGCAAAATACTTATTCATTAGAAGATTTACGTACAGCTGAGTGATGAAGAGTGTGGACTCTGGAGCACACAGCCGGGTTGAGATCCAAGTTCAGTTCATTCTAATAGCTGAACTGTCTTAGTCATGTTACTTAATTTTTATGAGATATGGTCTCTTTACCTAAAAATGGGGATGACGCTAGTATTTACTCATTGGGCAATTCATGTAAGATTCTTAAAACTGTGTGTAAATTCTTGCACACAGCACTGAATAAATGTTAGCTGTTGCTTTTACTTTGATTATTCCTTTTATTTCCAAACTTATAGGCACTTACGTTCACGGTCCAGCTTATACTCGACAGCCTTAATTTTTTTTTTTTTTTTAAGATTTTTGCCATAGAGCATATATGCTTGCTTGAGACAGATGGAAAGAATCAGAGAGGGAAAGTGAGAAAACAACCCACAGGGGGATGGCCACACCCTGATCCCTTCTTGTCCATTCTCCTTTTAGTATTTTGTACATACAAGCACATAGGTGTTTTTTAGGCTGCCAGATCCAAGACTCGAACCACAGAGTTAGTCATGTGGGATCCAACGCCTTCACCACCATTCCACTTCCTGGCCCAAATTTTGCTTTTCTTAATATTTTGAATCCTATGTTTATATTTAAAATTCTGACTCTCCTAGGAACAGACAGACAGCAGTTTGCTAAAATAATGGATATGGGGACCAGCAGTTGGCATAATGGCTGTGTCACTGGACTCCCATGTAGTTGACTGTGGTTCAAGTTCCGGACCCGGTGGCTTAAGTTCACGCCGGGCACGTGTGTGTGTATGCCCAAGATTCCAAGAGGAGAATGGAGGAGAAGGGATTGCGGTGTGGCCATCCCCTCAGGGGGTGATTTCTCACTTTCTGTCTCTCTGTCTTTCTGGCGAGTTCACGCGCCCTTATAGCAAAAACCTCTCCAAAAAGGATATGATTACAGCAGCAATTTCACTTATTAGTACCTGGATTTTCTGCACGATTGGCTTTCCTTCTTTCTCTTTCTTGCTTTCTCTTGCTCTTCTTTGCTGCAACTATCTTTTCCCAGTGTCTCTGTTTTCTTTGGACATTTTTCTTATGTTATCCAGAAAACAAAATTGTTTGAGAACTTCATAAGCACCAAAAAGGAAAATGAACATTAAAAACAGTTACTTACTATTTCCATTTACATAGAAAGTTAGGGGGGAAAAGGTTTAAAGTACCTTTAAACCTGAAATGTTTAGGGAAATATTTAGAGAAAGTAGAGCTTCAGAAAAACAGATGTGACCTACTGGAGGTCACAGTAAATTGACTAGGGACAGAGCCTAAAGTGTAATTTAAGTTTCTCCCTTCCATCCCTCCTTCCTTCTTACTTTGTCTTCCCTTCCTTCCCTTTCTTTTGCTACTTCTTTCTCTCTCTCTCTCTCTTTCCGTTTTAAGGTTTTTACCAAAGGGCACATACATTTACTAGAGAGACATGGAAAGGGAGAGGAAAGTGGGAAATCACCCCTCAGGAGGGATAGCCACATGGCTACCCATCTCCCTCCATTCTCTTCCTGGGATTTTGGACAAAGCAGGCATGGATGCCCAGCATGATCTTCAAGCTGCTAGGTCTGGGATTCGAGCCGCGGTTGGCATGAGGTAGACCAGCACCTTAATGATACACTACTTGCTAGCCCCGAGTTTAAGTTTCTTGATCCGTCTGAGGTATATTAAAAATTTCTTTGAAACTTTAATCCTTTTTCTATAACTCAAATAGAATTGAACCCTTAAACCACCTACCAGGAAATTAATTTATCATTTTCTCACTCATCAATCACTCTCGATTTATGAATGCTCAGCCTCTCTCTTTCTTTTTATTGCAAGAGGGTATGTGCACTTGCCAGAAAGGGAAAGA